CCCTCACCCGGTTCTACCCCCCACCACACACACACACACACACACCACACACACACACACACACACCAGCACCAGCACCAGCACCAGCAGCAAGGAATCCCAGCATAGCCCAGAGTGAGAGGGAAGAGGACGCAGCTCTCTCCCAGACCCCCGGCTCCCAGACCTGCTCCGCTCAGAGGGCAGGACAGTCTGGGTCTTCACAGGAGCCAACGCCCGGAGGTTTGCTGGCTGCCGCACACTGCGCCCCTGAGATCGCCTTCCCTCCAGGTCTCCACAGAGGATCACAAGGCTCCTCTGGGCCCTGCCACAGGCCTCTGATCCCCAGGAGCACAGGGCTCCAGTGGCGGCCTGCAGGTACAAGCCGGCCCTGGCTCAGGCCAGCCCATCCCCCTGCCAATGCATCCTCCTGGGTTGGGTTTTGCCTTGGCCAGAGGTTTCCTACCCACTGAGAATTACATCCGTACTCCTGATGAAGGACCACTCCCTGGAGAGGATGTGTTCTGGGTCTAAAAACATCCTAAAATTAAAGCAGAGGCCTGACCCTCCTGGCAACATCCTCTGAATTCTTTCTCCAAACATAAAGGAGATGCAGAGTGATCAGCAGACTCCGGACCCCAGGCCCCTGCCTCCTGAGGGTCTCACCAGCCCCTCACCCTTCCCTCTTTGCCTCCTTCCCGCCCACCCAGCCCCCAGGACCCTACCCGAGGAGTCACCAACAGGAGACAATGAATGAGGAAGAACCCAAAGAGAAAAATTAAGAATGGAGAGTTTTAATTAAGAGGGGAAAATGGTAATATAAAATGTGCCTGAGATCGATTTTGGAAGGATACATAAAAAAACAATAAAAATGGCCCTGGCCAGTTTGGCTCAGCGGTTAGAGCGTCGGCCTGCGGTCCAGAGAGACCCGGGTTCGGTTCCCACTAAGGGCACGTGCCTCGGTTGCAGTTTGTCCCCGGCCCTGGTTGGGTCATGCGGTGGCAGCCACTCGATGTGTCCCTTTCATGTCAATGTTTCTCTCTCTCTCCCTCCTACTCTATCTGAACAAAAAATGGAAAAATGTCTCAGGTGAGGATAAAAAAAACAAAAACAATAAAAATGGTTTCTCTTGGGAGGAAGTGGGCAGTCCATGACACGGCAGAAACAAAGCTTTTCAGTGTCTGCCTTGTTACATTATTTTGACGTTTGTGACTCTACACTTCAGAAAGATATCTTTCTGAGTTAAATAATACTAAAACTGTGCCCGAGGATAGAGAGCGCATTCCAGATGGTCACACGCGGTACTCGTGTCCCTGTGAGCGGGGCCCCTGGGGGCACCTGCGGGGGCCTCTGCTCTGATCCTTAACTGGACGAGAGGCTGCTGCCTGAGAGGGGACCGCTTGTCACGCTCCCTCCACATGCTGCCACCTGGGGATCCTTCCAGCGAGGAGGCCGGGACACGGCCGCCCGGGGCCTCTGGGAGGACTCTCCGCGAGCGGAGGGTCTTCTGGACACAAGTGTGGAGCAAGTTTCTCCCCACAAGGCAGAAGCCCAGAGAGAAAGACGGTGTCAGCCAACATAGGTTCATTGTATACATTTAAAAAAAAAAATTTGTTGTTGTGGTCAAATATATATAATATAACATTTACAATTTTAACCATTTCGAGTTGGTGTTAATTATATTCACCATGTTGTGTAACCATCACCACTGTTTCCAGTGCTTTTTCATCACCCCAAACAGAAACTTTGTAACCATGTATGTTTGGATTACTTCTGACAGCTGTTTTAAGTTTGTGTTGAAACAAAGTTTTAAGGGAGGCTGTCCTGCCGGTCCTGCCAGGAGGGGGCTCACCTGTAGGGACGCAGGGTGACGAGGGACCATCTCTTCGTCTATGATGAACCATCTCAAATCAAAACTGGCTTCGAGGAAGCCCCAGAGATAACAGGGTTGGAATGTAGCTTTGCAGCCTCTTCTGAGGGAAAGGGGAGGAGAGGCCTGGGCAGGCGGCAGGTTGTAAGATGAAAAGGAAGAGGATTTGGACAGTGGAGAGAATGAACCAGCTGGGAGATGCAAGGCTCTCTGGGCCGAGACCCCGTGGTGGGGTGGACGCTCGGAAGCCAGGCCTCCTCCTCCCTGGCTGTCAGCACACCCAGGTCCTAGGCTGTGCCAGTCGATGGGATGGATGGCCGAGGCCTGGGGCAGACACTCAAGCGTCTCCAGGCAAAAGCTGTCCACGCGGGCAGCCCCAGGAGCCATCCTGCAGCGGACCTCACTGCACGGGCCCGCTCCACTGTGCGCTCACCGTCCCCAGGCTGCCACAGTCGGAGCACTGGCCACAGCGAGGGACGGCGGAGGGAAGGGGGAAGAAGAGCCAACCAGTTGCACCCCAGATTCTGCACCGGGACTTCAATCAAACTGATGTTTGAACGCACATGAGGTCTGTGAACCCACTGGGTTGCAATGTAAAGGCATGTGTATCAGGTGTCCAGAAAGGGTCCCCCTGCCAAAAAAACAAAACGGGAATTTTCCTGATCCTGTTCTTCCCACCTGGGATGACTTCTCAATTACAACCCAGTCCCCACACACCAATCTTCACCAGCCCAAATTTTACGTGTTCTTCAAACTGTTTCCCTGATCCGATGATTTACCCCTTGGCTACCCCCAGAAGTGACTGCTCCCTTTTCTGAATAACCAGAGCATCATCTTTCTACCTCTTTGTGGTGGTCTAGGTTGGAGCACTGGTATTTGGCGAGTCCCTTACTGTCCTGGGTGGACAGGCTGTCGGAGGAGGGTGGTTCCACCCCAGTCCAGCCCCCAGCACAGTGCTCCACACACTGCAGCCAGCCAGTCTTCAAACCGAGCTGGGTGCCCGGAATGAGTGTTGGGAAAATCCTGTTCTTCATCCTCAGGCTCATCTATCTTATCCTTGGACTTTAGCCCGTTTCACTAAAGCTCATATTTTAAGATAAGCAAACTCCTGGGATTTCCTGTTTTTCTATAAAAAAAAAAATCAGGTTTTCAAGATGAATTCAGATTTGGTAGAAAACTATTCTACGAACTATGTTGACAGATTGTTGTTTTCAGTTGAGTGCAGAATAGTGGGGGCAGAAAGCCAGGAAAGGGGGGGAAGGGGCCAAGATGGGTATTCAGGTGCTTCTGCTCTAAGATAATTGTTGCCCTGTCTGGACCCCCCACTCCCAGCACACACCTGAACACATCGCCTAGCGCACACCCCAGGTGGGAGCACTCCCGAGGCTGCACCTAACGACCCGCCTCTCCCACGGTGCTCAATGGGACAGGAGATTGTGGGCGCAGCATCGGCCCCCTGACCCGCTCAGCGTTCTCTGGCTCTTGAATTTGCCAAATGAGAGCAGTTTCCTTTCCCACCACTGGTGACCACATGCCCACCTCTATACAATTGCTATATTTGGAAATATAATCAAGAATCAGTCAACTGAGAAAAATTACGGAGATAGATTTTTGTAAAACCAGACAACCGATTTGAGTAAGGCACATTCTTCAACATCCGCAAGCAGCAAATGCAACACAGTCACAGCTAGGAATGCCGGGGGTGCCAGGAACCTTGACAGGGGCCCGGGGAAAGCCCGTTTGTTTGTTAAGCAGAAAAAACCACAGTGCAGCTGTGTTTGAAAGTCAACGTGCTGCTGCTTTCTTTGATGACAGGGATGGCGAATAGGGTTACACCTCGTGTCATCTGACCAACGGGGAGCAGCTGCCCAGAGCTTGTGTGGGTGAGGATGGGGCCCACAGCTGCCCGGAGCTTGTGTGGGTGAGGCCGGGGCCCTGAGTGGGAGCAGCTGCCTGGAGTTTGTGTGGGTGAGGCCGAGGCCCTGAGTGGGAGCAGCTGCCCGGAGCTTGTGTGGACGAGGCCGGGGCCCTGAGTGGGAGCAGCTGCCCGGAGCTTGGGTGGACGAGGCCGGGCCTACTGTGGGCGTGGGGGAAGGAAGGCTGCGACCTCTGCAGCCTGACACCTTGCAGCTCTGCCCTACTGAGATGTCGCTGAGCCTGCTGCTTCCCAAGTCCAGAATGTTCTTTTCCATTCAGGTAAGTACTCGCAGCCAAGGGCAAATTCAGTTTGTGAGCCCCAGTGAGGAACAGTGGGAGATCATTGCCCAGCACAGGAGCCATCTTGGGATTCTCTTTTCCCTTTATTGGTTTCAGAGAGAGGAAGGGAGAGAGAGAAACATCGATGAGAGAACATCAACTGGCCGTCTCCTACGTGCCCCGCACTGGGGATCGGGCCCACAACCTGGGCACGTGCCCCAACTGGGAATCGAGCCGGCGACCTCTTGGTGCAGGGTCGACGCTCAACCCCAGACCACACCGGTGGGCAGAATCCTGGAATTCTTAAAGACATAAAACAAGCTGAAACACATACTGCAGGTACTACTGGAAAGGAGGGCACTGGAGACTGAATTATTCTTCTTTACAGATTATTTGCAGATCAGGGGACACTGGTTGTGTTCTCAGGCCATCTTTTTAAGGCTAGTGCTCTTTCTTAGTTTAATATATATATATAAAACAGGGAGAGAAGCAACACCACAGTGTGACAGGGCAGTTTGTTAGTTAGAAGTGAGTTTCTATAGCCCAGTCTCAGTCTTGCTGAGGCAAATTTTGAGCACAGTGTAACACCTGAACTGTAAAGAGGAATAAGGCGTATATTACAGTCATCGGAGAACTGCTTTACATGGGTCTCTTTCATTCTCTCCAGAATTGCTGACACCCTTTCTGTAAATATATTATTATTCACAAATATGTGACTCTCAAGGCTCAGTATTTCATAATCTCATGGACACTTTTAGAAATATTTTAAAATAATCATTTTTATTTCCTTAGATTATGATAAAGGGATTTGTAATCAATAATATTCAAAATACATATATAAAGACAAATATGAACAGTGATATACAGTGCCCAAGGTACTTTAATTTTGAAAAGACAGAAAAAAACAAAACCACTATGACTTTTCAACAAATTTTAACATGAAATATATTATGCTCAGATTGGTAAACAAAAGATTAAAATGAATACTCATATTTAACTACATATTCAACATGAAAAGCAGATTAAAAACTGCTTTTATAAAATGCTATAATGAGCACTTTAACTGATTTACTTTTATAATTGCTTTATTTTCAAATGTTAAATTTTCATGTTGCTATTTGAAAAGTCCTTCTGTATAAATAAGCTGCATGGATATAAGCTTAATTCCCACTAAATGATAACCCTAATAAGGCATAATGATTATATTTTCTATTAACATTAGGTTTTGAAGTGCTACACACCCGTATATGCCGCACAAAAATCGGTCAGAGAGATGCCACTGCAGTCCCGGTGAAGGTCACGTTGCCGAATGACCACTTTCACATGCTGCATGTGTTTGCTATTTTTTGTCAGTGCTCACGCAGCCTGTCTTTAACAGACAGAAATACACATCGAACAGCTGTAAACTGTGAGAGGGTCAAAACCACCTCAGCAGCCAGCACTGTTCAGCTGTGCCCTCAGCCGGGGTCGCGGTGGCAGCATGCCGACCTCACCATGTAAACTTGCAGGCTTTCAAATGAAACACAGTTGAGTGATTTTTGTTGATTTAAAACACAGAAACAGTGTCATTACTACCTCTAGTGATAGGAATTCCCTGGAACTTCTCTGCCAATCCTCAGGACTATCCCAGAGGGGCAAAAACTCAAGTCCAGAGACAATTTCTGATTCCACCAGTTGCTTCTAGAACTTGGGTATCAATCAAAAAGTGATTTATGATCATATGTAATGTAATGAGATTTGTTCTGTGGTGACAATTAAACGGCAATGTTTGGGTATCATGTATGATGTCGTGTGCCCACAAGTCATTGTTCCAAGGCAAGTAAGCAGAATATCTCTTATAGTAATGAAAGATGAACTAAAAGACACACACAAGAAAATTTGGAAAGTTGAAAAAAATGTAAAAAATAGAAACAATTGAGTAGAAATTAACCTAAGACTCTATTAGATATTAAAATGTATTGTTTAAAAATATAAAGTTTTTATGCTTTAAAAATAATCACTTTTTAAAGACCCAGAGCTTATACTGCTTCTTTTTAAAATGATTTTTGAAATAGTAGACAGAAAACGGACAGCTGTTCCAACTGATTGCACTTATACACGTAAGGAAAAGTGTTTTTTAACAAAGGCTAAACAGCAAAAAAAAAGTTATGACTTTTGGAAATTTCCTTTTCTAAATTATATCGAAAGGAAATGATGAAAAACCATATTCAACTGAGTGGAGAAACAGGAATGTTTGTTTCAGCTCTGATCCGAGTCCCTGACTTACTGGACACGCACACTTCGCACTGGTTCCTTGTAGGTCTGCGGCAGCCCAGTTCGAAGGCACTGTCGGTTTCTGTGTGATGTAATGCTAGCATCTGAGCTCTAGAAATACAGAAAAAAATTCGAATATGGTATATAGATTTTTCTTTCATTTCCTCTGCGTGTATATTGGACTGATAGTATATTTACTATACTTTAACTTTTTATTCAGGCAGGTCTTTCCTCAACTCTGTTGGAAGATTCCTCCATAAAGTCCCAAATGAAAATAGTTCCTTTAGGTATGCCTCTACCTCAACTAAGAACAAGTAAGACTTTGGTTGGAATAGATTTATCCATTTTTTCTGCGACAGATATTTTCAAATACATTCTTCCCCTACATCTCTATGCTCGCTCTCTAGGTGTCAGTAAACATACTAAATCTTCCTGCTGTTTCCGGAACTCCATCCATCAACCACATGGCTTCCCTGCTCTGCAGCAGAGGCCATGACCTAGTCGAGACATTCCAGGAGTAGCTGAAGTAGTCCCTGAGCAGTTCCTAGGACTGCCATGGCATGGGAGAGACCCTTCATTAGGTCAAGGTCATTTACTAGAGTTCTGAAATGCAAAACAAAACACTACTGTCTCCATAAACACTGTCTCAGTCATTCTTACAATCACAAACCATGGTCCAATAATTAATACTGGCCATTAGAACCTCTTAGAAACTATTTACCATTTTTGCTTCCTCTCACTATGTATACATCTCTTGCATTTCTCTGTTAATCTAATGGGACTTCTAACTAGCAGATAAAGAAATGAGGTGCATTATATAACGTTCCATCATTAGCATCACTTAACAAGCAGTATTGTCAAGTGATGCTAATGTACTTACATAAAATCTAATATTCAATTGGTTATTAAAATCTTTTCTTCTTAAAGGACACTCACACTTTCATCCTAGACAACTGTAAAGTTCCATTCAGGGGAGACAGAAATGATAACAGAAATTAACCAAAGCATCAGAAATAGGTTAGCAAATGCTACTTTAAACATTCTATTGTCCATCTATAGGTCTTTAACTTTCATAAAAAGCGTATCTATACAATAAGCCTATATTGTGTCCTCTTCCTACTCATGAATTTTCATACATTCATTTCTTTCTACGCATTTCCTATCTTCTCAGATGTTTCCTCACTCAATCAGGGGAACTCTAATCCGATTACATCGCGTGACGAGTCCTGGTGAGACAGGCAATGCAGACCAGCTCTGGCACAAAGAGGGTGAGGGCGCAGCAGACACAGTGTGCAAATCACTGCCCTAAATAATTCAAAAGAGCTGAGGTCAAGATACAGCCAATTACAATTTCTTCATTCCCAATGATCATAAACAATTCCCCCATTGTTTCTGATTTTTGAGAACATTTCTTGAGTACAGCTGCTTTGACCTCAGCTCATTACGGAAGAAAAGTACAGTGCCTTACTCCGTGCTTAGTTAGGTGTAGTCGGCAGGTATTTGGACACCAATTTCCTTTCTTCGTACTATTCAAAAGTGCTAATCAGTATAAATGTATTCCCACAACTAAGCTACTAAAATGAGTTTTTAAAAATACTTAACATATAGAAAACATTTTTTTAAATTATCATTGCTTCATGGCTATAATTACTTGAGTCCAAAAAATCACTCTGTAGTGATCTGAGATTATTTTCCTGTGCAATAATTCTGCTGCTCTATTTTTAGATTTCAAACATCCTCAGTTATACATACCACGCTATATTTGAAACCTGATTTGCTTGAAAAGCAAGGAAGAAAAGTCAGGTCAGCGTTTGGCTTTGTCAAGCTTAGATTAGAAACATTTTTACCAAAGGAAAAAAATAAATGATTTTTTTTTTCCTAAGCAAAGCTCACTCGTGCACCTCGGGAGGTTTGCTCACATTCATCAGTCTCCTGCCACAGAAGTGGAAGGCTCCAAAGGGCCCTCCGCAGCCTCGCCTACAGCGGGCAGCCCTGCGCCTCGATGCCCGGCACGGGCTGCACGGGCAGCACCAGGTGGGAGATGCGGCTCCACAGCCCGCTCAGCTTGTCTGAGTCCATGTGGTTGAAGGAGCTGGGCATGTTCGAGTTGGTAAACCGGGCCCAGAGCAGATCTCGCACTTTTTCTTCGGTTTCCCTTGGGCCCACACTTGCTTCCAGTGTGTCCTCCTCCAGGAGAACGGTCAGCACCAGGGCCACGTCTTTGAAGGCCGCGTTCTCGTGGTCACAGTACTTGTAGAAGATCAAGGTGGAGCCTGCGGGAAGGGACTCGAAGCGGTGCACCACGGCGGCCTTCCTGCCGTCCTCGAATCCAGAGCTCAGCTCCATGTCCACCAGCAGCTTGACCGTGTCGCTGTCCTGCGAGGCCCTCCCAGCGCCGTCGATCTGAATGGCAGCGACTTTCTGGGAAGAGGTGTAGGCATCGGCAACGCGATGGCTGAGGCACTTCAGGGTCTCCCTCCCCTCTCGAGCTGCTGTGAAGATGATGGTGGCCGGCTCGGTGGGGTGCGAAGCATTGAGGTGCTTCTGGAGAAACTTCTGTCCTCTCTGCCACAGAAAAGCACTCTGGCCTGGAAATGCATCCTTCAGCTGGCTGAACTGAGCCAGGAAGGCCTCCAAAGCTGGGTTCTGGGGCACTTGCTGTGCTGGGGAGGAATAGTAGCTTTGCACAGAGCTTAGCAAAACAAAAGTCACAACCAGGAAGCCAAGAATGATGGGGCCTGTCAGGGAATGAAAAAGATAAACGATGAAATGAGAGAGCGTGAGTCAGAAATACAGCCTGTGGTGGACTGAACTGAGGCAGAGATGCTGCTGGACTCAAGGGTTGTTGGGACGTTTCCTTTGCCAGAATCCTTTCAACTTTCTGCTCTAAACTCGACCAGACTTCCTCTGATTTCTTAGATTTAATTATTTGAAGATACAATATCTTTGTTAAAAGGTAAAAGCTCATTTTGTACATTTGTTGCTATAATATGTTGCTACAATATAAAGATGTGATTTAGAAATGAACTATAGGGATTTTCTACCTTCTCAAAGTACCTACCATCCAAAACAGGCCTTTTTTTTTTTTTAAGGTCAAAATGTAAAAATGCCACTTAAGAGGGTAATCGTCTCTAACTGAAAGGCAGTTTTAGTTTCTTGTTTATGAAATGTCTTTCCTCCGGCGGGAATTCCCATTTTGTTAAGGATGGTGAACTAGCAGCCAGCACCCCTAAAGAAAAAACTGCAACTCTATTGCTCTATTTTCCTGTTACCTACTACCAAACATTTTTTTAAAAACATGATTAAACTGTTTAAATCTGCAAGTTTTCTAGGTATTTTCTGAATGTGAATCAACACTGTACCAAGACCAGCTTTGCTCTTACCATAGCTCAAATAATCCTTTACATTAATGTTTCTTAGGGCATCCTGCACGTTCTCTCTGTTTCCTTCCAATGTTTGTGTTTCTTGTTGATGACTTCCAGCTTCTGGGGGAAAAGAACATTGTTTTTAGACAGTACAAATAGCAGAGGCACTAAGTTGGGAGCCGGGAGAGATTACTGTGCACTTGCAAAATAGCTTACAAAGGCAGGTCTGGACTCTTAGTGAAGGAGGTATGTATACAAAGCAGGGAAGACAAGGTTCAGAATATTTATCAACTGTATAAAAATGTAGTCGTGGGGCGGGACACCAATCTTAAAATGTGTGGGTAAAACGGAGGGCAGTATTTTGTAAGCTAAGTCACTCTAGCCAGGGGTGGGGAACGTCTGGCCCTCAGGATGTATAAGGCCCTCGAAATCAATACCAGCTAACATCACACACACACCCCGAATTAGCCTGACCAAATATAGCAGGCTAGTTTTTAAGATGATAATTTTGTGTGGCCTAAGAATGATGTTATAAATATCCAAATGGATATTGGTAGAAAAAAGGTTCCCGACCCCTGCTCTAGATTGTAGATGTGTCCTTGACCCCAGCCAGGTACCTCATACAACAGTGAACGCTGACTATTGCCCATAACCCTCACTGGAAACAACTCAAGTGTCATACTGTATTAACATGAAGAAGTAGAATCATCTTCACCTGCAAAGGATAGTTCATTTAGTCATATCACCAAAAAACAGATGTTAAAACTATCATATCACAGAATTTAAGGACTGGAGGATCTTGAATGATCACCTACTCCAGCCCCAACCTTACCTATTAAGATCCAAGGATGTTGCGGGCTTTGCCCAAAGTCACATAAAGAGATGTGGCTGAGCCCTGGCCGGTTTGGCTCAGCGGTTAGAGCGCTGGCCTGTGGTCCAGAGAGACCCGGGTTTGGTTCCTGCTAAGGGCGCGTACCTCAGTTGCAGTTTGTCCCCGGCCTTGGTTGGATTGTGTGGGTGGCAGCCACTTGATGTGTCCCTTTCACGTTGATGTTTGTCTCTCCCTCCCTCCTACTCTATCTGAACAAAAAATGGAAAAATGTCCTCGGGTGAGGATAAAAAGAAATGTGGCTGAGCTGAGATAAGAACAAGGTCTCTCATCTCCTAGATTAGTTCATTCCATTATCATTAGTTGCTTCCCACAAATAAATAGTTTTAAAACATTTTCTTCCTCTACTCAGTGAACCTGCATACCAGTGAAATTCTGATGGCAGATAAATGGCCCAGACAACTCTCATTCATTTCTGCAGTTCCAGATGCCCCAGAAACACAATGAGAGAGACGTAGTCCTTGCCTTCACTGAAGTTACAGACTCTTCTAATGATTAACGAGGGAAACAGAGTGTTTGAGATCAAGCACTGATTTAGAGTGAGACATGACTGTCTAGCCCTCAGTCAAGCCTCTGATGAATAGAATGTCTTATATTTTATGTTCCTCTGCACTGACAAACAGGCATTCAGACTGAGCTCTTTAGAGTACTTACTTATACAACACAAATTCACACATACAACCACAGGTGAGAGCCAGAAGAGACCAGCTGGATGTCTTTGTCCAACTTCTTTATTCTACAAATAGGACACTAAACTATCAGGAAGTTAAGAGACTTGCCCAAGGTCATCCAGGTGGGAGGAGGGCACAAGCAGAATCCATGGCCCTTGGGTTCCAGTAAGAACTTAGCACATTGTAACTACTTTCTTCATAAGAGAAGATATGATACTTGTTCTCCTTAACATGCAAGTAGGGGGAATCAGATATAGAAAAATTAACTGATTTACTCAAAGTCCTATAAAACTAAAATGACTGCACTAAGGGCACTTGAACCATTGATGCTAGTGTTTAAATTTCCCACCTCTTTATTTCTGTAGCATTTAGTTCCCCCAAAACTAAAATATTTTTAAAACTGTAAGTGAAAACATGCTCATGAGAAAGAAAAAGCCAGAGGTAAATTTTTTAAATCATGCCCCTTTTTTCCATCATACTGCATTAATACAAACAGTAAATAAATGAAAACACTATTTTAAAATGCAGATTAGCCCTGGCCAGTTTGGCTCAGCTGTTAAGAGTGTCGGCCCCTCGGACTGAAGGGCTGCGGGTTCGATTCCCCGTCAAGGGCACATACCTGGGTTGTGAGTTGGATCCCTGGCCCTGGTTGGGGTTGTGCAGGAGACAATCAATCAATGTGTCTCTTTCGCATCTGTATTTTTCTCTCCCCACCTCTCCCTCCCTCTATCCTTCCCTCCCTTCCACTTTAAAATGATCAATGGAAAAATATCCTCAGGTGAGGATTAACAACAAAAAAATACAATTTATTTCACGTAATGGGATGAGCTTGTCTAGAAGATAAGAAACCCCATTCTAATCTCAACTCAGTCATAACTTTTTTTTTTAATGCTCACCTGAGAACATTTTTCCATTTTTTGTTCAGATAGAGTGGAAGAGAGAGAGAGAGAGAGAGAGAAACATCGACATGAAAGGGACACATCGAGTGGCTGCCACCCACACAACCAACCAGGGCTGGGGACAAACTGCAACTGAGGTACATGCCCTTAGTGGGAACCGAACCCGGGTCTCTCTGGACTGAAGGCCAACGCTCTAACCACTGAGCCAAACCGGCCAGGGCTCAGTCATAACTCTTTGTGACCCTGGGCAAGGCCCAAGGAAAGAGATGTTCTCTGGAAAGGGCTCTGACCTATGCTGTGTCCTACTGACAGAGCAATACTAAACAGGACAGGTCAGTGGGCCCTCTCACCTGGCTCCACCAGTCGCCTCCTCAGTCCACCCTGGTCCTCCAGCCCTGCGGTGGGATGATCACGACTCTGGGCACCCTGGGCATCTACAGCAGGTGGCTCCCGAGGAGCTCCAGGTCTGTTGCTCACTTCAGCAGGGAGGCCTGTGGAGCTGCTCCCGAACTGTGCATCTGCCTCGTCTCTTGGAGAACATTTGGGTTCTGGATGCGAGGATTCTTCACCCAGGCTTTCAGGATGCAAGGATTCTTCACCTAGACTTTCAGGATGCAAGGATTCTTCACCCAGACTTTCAGGATGCAAGGATTCTTCACCCAGACTTTCAGGATGCAAGGATTCTTCACCCAGGCTTTCAGGATGCGAGGATTCTTCACCCAGACTTTCAGGATGCAAGGATTCTTCACCCAGACTTTCAGGATGCAAGGATTCTTCACCCAGACTTTCAGGATGCAAGGATTCTTCACCCAGACTTTCAGGATGCAAGGATTCTTCACCCAGACTTTCAGGATGCAAGGATTCTTCACCTAGACTTTTTGAAGAGAGTTGATGTCCTTGTTCGCCATCCTGAAAACTCTGGTTGGCCTCACGTTCTGTTTTATCCTTCGGATATTTCCCATTTGTTTCATCTGGACTTTCTGATAGATCACCTGTATCTGCACTCTCTGGACCTATTGTTTCTACCTCTTGGTGGTCTTTGTTGAAACCAGAGGCAGGGCTTAGGGTCTGTGCATCTTCAGTGGTCCTTGCTGTGACTGTGGTCTCCTGTGCCTGAGAATTTATTGATGGGTCATTTTCCAAATCCTTTTGAGAGTCTACGGAGATAAAAATTTATCATTTTTATTGAAAAAAAAAAAATTCCCTTTTTTGTATTTTAACGAAGTCCCTGATTAATAATAAAAAATATTTATATAGATTTTTATGGTTTACAAGGCATTCTTCCACATTATTTCTCTTAATATCCACTAAAGGAAGTTAAAACAAAACAAACAGATATATTATCATGTTAATAAATTTAACAAATAATACTAATGTAAAACTATTCTGAATGACAGAACCAACTTTTGGTTGTATTAAATACATCCTCTTCCCTAAGGAAATAATGGATCTAGGTAATCATCAACTGTAGTAACTAAAACCATTATGCAAAAACCTGGTGCGGAATTTCCTAATGGATGACCAGACTGACAACTGCTGAAACAGCTGATCAATCTTAACATCACACAGAGGGAAAACCAAGCATCACTAACCTCCCGATTCAATGCAGTAGGAAGCACAATGCACCACCTAGGAAGTCTTCCTGCAAGACTGAACAGGAATCTGATCATGCTTCTAGAGCTAACTACCAGGTTCCCAGAAATACAGAGACAGGCATGTAGTAAAGTATGCCTCAGGAATGTAATCAGTAACATCCAGAAAGTGGGACATTCCAAGGGACAAAAGAATTTGTTTATTTAGGAATGGCCAGAAATAAAACCAACTTTAGCAAGAACAGAAAAATGAGAGGCGACCTGCTGATTAAGAGAGACTTCAAAGAGACACACCAACCAAATGCAATGTGTGGGTGACACTGTTTAGATCCAGTGTCAAAGAAATCAACTGTTAAACATTTGTAAGACAGGAAATCTGAATGCCAGATATTTGATGATGCTAAATAATTTTTGTTCACCTTTTACAGTAATAAAGGTATTGCGATAATGTTTTTTAAAAAGAACCTTTGTATTTTAGACATAAGTATCCAAGTATTTATGGCTAACGTTTTTTGTCCGGACTTTGCTTCACTTAAATGGCACCGAAAGGAGGAGAGAGCACAGAGGACGCGCTGTCAGCCACACGCTGACAGCAGAGGGAGCTGTCTGATGGCTCCTTGGGTTCATCTACTCTCTCCTTCTCTATGTTTGAAATTTCTATAATAAAACTTAAAAGAATTAAGCAGTTTAAAACATATCATTCAAATGCAGTGTGTGACTCCACTGTAGAAAGGAAAAACAACCCAAAAAACAGAGAACTGGGTAAATGTGGATACTCACTGGATATGTGACGGTATTAGGAATAACTATTAATTTATTTTTTAGTTGTGATAATGCTATTTTTGTTATGTTTTTTGAAAAAAAAATCTACTTCTAAGAGGAAAAATAAAACTATTTACAAATAAAATGATGCAATATCTTCACATTGAAATGTTCCAAGACAGGCCACAAGTTCAGCATTATGTAGGCGATTGTTGAAGTTAGGTGTTGAGTACCTGGGGGTTCATTATACTGTTCTACTTTTGTATTTTTTTAAAAAAGTCCTTAGTAAAAGATTTAAATAAATATGCCTTTCTTCTCTTCTGCAAAATCTACTTCATATTTTGCCTATTTTGTATATCTTCTATATACACATGAGTAGGATGAATTTAAATTTCGTCTTTCCCTATAATTGAAAGATTTCCCTCTCACTATATAGCATATCACTGTTTTCTTAATCTTTGAAAACATCTTGATTTTTTAAATAAAGATTTGTCTACAATCTTTTTTAAGAGTCACTGCATTTTCCCAATACTACAGGTTCCTACAATTGGAGTCTCCAAAACATTCATCTTTCTTATCATCAAGGTCTGGTATTATGGTAAAGTTCAGTAAATCTGAAAGAATCAGAATAACCATAACAAATTAATCCATGACATTAATTTCCTTTTTACTCCCAAACTTCAAGTTTCAGTCATCAGCGACGTCCCCCAGCGCGGGCGAGTGTCCACAGCACCAAGCCCAGCGCGGGACAAACTCTTACCCTCTGGCGGGTCCCCACGTGCTCTCTCCGCCATGTTCCTTCTCTCTCCAGACCCTGGGAAACTTCTGCTTAGTGTCTGGTTTTCCTCGTGAAGGAGTCTGGTTTTCTTCTTGTCCCAAGTCCCAACAGACTCATGCTTCCCGTGAGTGCAGGAAGCAAAGCATGTATGTTATACAGTCACTAAAATAAAACAGAAACAAATTTCAATGACTTTTTAGTCATGCGTGGAAGAAATGCCAATTTCAGCTTATTAAATCTGTTTTGTTTAAGTCATATTTCCTCTCTGAAACTTCTTCTAGTGAAGAAAAGAATGTTTTCTGCCTTTCTGGAGGATCACACCCCGTCTAGCTACAAACAGAAGAAAGCTTCAGATCAGTGGCTTTGAATGCAGAATCTCCCAGTACATTCCCATGGGGTGGAAAGGATATAAAAAGTGAAGACCAAGCGACCAGAATCTTAAAGAGCGTATCTATGAAACTGAAATAAAAAGCAAGTCTAAGAGTAGAAATTCAAGGCACTGCCGAGTTCCTCCCTGCACATCCCTTGATGTTCCATCTGTCCGTATTCATGTCTGAGTTTGCCTGGCAGCAGCTCATCCCTCACAAGTAACAGGGCACAGGGCTACCTGCAAGCGGAGGCACCTGGAGGAGGAAATACTCCTTCCGAGTTTCCTCACTGCCTCCTGAGTTGGTATTGTTTTGCAAAATACAGAGAAGTAGCTCTTTATACCATGCCTTTTTAGGCTGTACGCAAAGACCACGGATATATACATTATTTTGAGCTACCTACAAAAGGAATCAAAAGCAGAGGCCATTTGTAAGCAGTAAAAAGTTATACCATTTTATAGTTAAATCTTACTTTTTGTCAAAAACAATACTATCCAAAGTTACTTAACCTTCATTATCTGTAAAAATGATTCAAGATTGCTATGGGGATTAAAAATACAAAAATATGTGATCCTCAAAAAATTAAGAATAGAACTACCATATGATCCAGCTACTCCACTTCTGGATATTTGTCCAAAGAATATGAAAACACTAACTTAAAAAGATATAGGCACTTGTATGTTCATTGCAGCTTTATTTACAATAGTCAAGATATGGAAACGACCTACATGTCCATCAACGGATGAATAGATAGCCCGGCCAGTGTGGCTCCGTGGTTGAGCGTCGACCCACGCACCAAGAGGTCGCCAGTTCGATTCCTGATCAGGGCACATGCCCAGGTTGTGGGCTAAATCCCCAGTGGGGGGCATGCAGGAGGTGGCCAATTGATGTTCTCTCTCATGGATGTTTCTCTCTCTCTCTTACTCTCCCTTCCCCTCTCTCTAAAATCACTAAAGAAAATTTTTTTTTAAATAGATGAATAGATAAAGATGTGGTACATACAATAGAATACTACTCTGTCATAAAAAAAAGAATAAAATCTTGCCATATGCGACACCATGGATGGACCTAAGTGAAATATGTCAGACGGAGAAAGACGAATACTGTATGATTTCACTCATATGTGAAATCTAAAAAAAACCCAACAAAGAAATGAACAAACAAAACAAAACTCACAGCTCACAGATACAGAGAATAGACTGGTGGTTACCAGAGGTGGAGTATGGTAATGAGACTTTTGGTGGTGATCACTTTGTGTATATATAGATGTTGAATTATAATGCTGTACACCTGAAACTTATATGATGTTATATAACAAGTTTAATTCAATTTTTAAAAACCCACAAAAATAAATATGAAAGAGTGTTGTAAAGTGTTATATTTTGAAAGGCCAGCCAACCAGCCTTCTTTGTATCTTCCTCACTGTACACTTTTGTAAAATTTAACTTCAGCAGTTAAAATTTTAATCCCAAATGCCTAGCATAGTGCCTGGTGTAGAGTAAGAACTCCATATTTTAATTGAAAATAATATACATGAGTAAGTGAATGAACAGTGCGCCACTTATACACCGGAAGGGAGGGAGGACTCAGGGACAGGCCTCCTTCCTGTTGGTGCAGACCCACGGACCTCAGAGACAAAAACATCAGTGGTTCCAGGGAAAGAAGCGCTGACTGAAAAGGGCAGGAGAAAACGGGGTCCAGAAACTCTTTATCAAGGCAGTGGTTACAATTGTCATTAAATTTAAAATCTGTACATTTTATTGCATGTAGCATATCCTCAATAAACTTTAAAATGTACTACTTGGAAACAAAATGTATTACTAGGTTGCAGCCAATAAACAACCTGCAAAGGAACTGTCACAGGTATTTCTATAATCTTACAAATGTTCAATATACACCTTTCTGGTGTCACGGTACATGCCACTCCTGAAGTGCACTGCATTCAGGCCCTCTGTAACGTATCGTGTTCGTAAGTTCGTAGCTGGAGTGGTATTCCCTCCATAGCCCTTCTTGACACGTCCTCACAAGAAGTCACATGCTGGGGGATCTGGGAGATCTGGAGGCCACTATCCCAGAAGCAGGTCGACCTTTTGACTGTGTCCAGTCCATACCAGGAAGGGCACGCATCAGGAGTCTCTGGATTGCATAATGGAAGTGAGGCAGAGCCTCGGCCTGATGGGAATGAGGATGTTGGAGATTTTCTGCAGCTCTAGGAAACACCATTCCGTAAGTCTGTCCAAAAAAGGTCTTTTGAAGGGATCTTTTGCAAAAATGAACTGATGGAGACCCCGTGTGCTTCATATGTCATAACGACATTTACATTTAGTGAAATCCTTTCAAGTTCAATCACTAAATGCTGGTTTTCGATGCCTCGTATGTGGAGGTGATGACCCATTTTACCACGTAAGTAAAACTTGGGCTCGTCACTGGCCGTTATCTCCACTTCCCTGTGACCCTGAAATCTACAGCAAACCTTTCAGCATCTTACTTTATCCCCAGGAGGGCCTGAGACAGGTTAAGGCAGTGAGGTTTCATCCTCCATTCATGGGGGTGCATCAGACGGTAGAACGAGGAATGCCTTAGTTTCAATGTCCTGGGGCTTCTCTACAGAGAAGCTTCCTCTGCAGATGTGGCCTTTGTGCACCATCTCCCTGTACCAATGACAGTGCTGTGACAGCCTGGTAGGTGTTCACTGGCATGTACACCAAATGACCTTTGCACTGCAGTAACACCTGCAAGTTTAGCAGACTCTGACATACAAAATTAAATGCTGTAAGGGTAACTCTACAAGTTGATGCATATTACATATTATATATAAAGGTCATGACTAATAAAAACTTGAATGTATCCGATTCCTTTTATTGCTCCGTACATTGTTTAAATATACATAAAAAATAAACACAAAAAGAATAAACATCAACTTCCATTTAGTGCTTGCTTCTGTGGAAGGAAGGACAGGAATAGGCTGAGAACAAGGACGGGCATCAACTGTACCTGTAAAGTATCTTTTAAAAGAAAGAACAGAGATAAATGTGGCAAAATGTTCGTGTGATCTGAGTCCATAGGTGAATGACATTTTCTGCACTTTTCTATATGTTGGATGTAGTTAATAGTTTTTTTAACGAGTAATAAAATAAAATATATTAGCTTCCGTGGGGGAAAATGATCAAAAGAAAAGGCCTGTAATGGTAACCCTTTGAGCCCACATGCAATGAACTTACATTCCAGTCACCATTCAACTGCGGTCTCCCATACATTTTGTCACAACCGGTTGGGAGCAATAGGACAAGGAAAAGCTTCTGGGAAACAGCAGGACCTCACCCAACCTCTACTCCATCCTGAAAACCTCTAGTCTGGCCGTGGGACCAGGCAGGAGGAGGGGAGGGGATGGAGACCTGGAGGAGACCTACAGAGGAGGGAAGAGGCAGGCATCAGGAAGACTGATATCTGCAACACTAAGATGTAAGTATTGCTTTAAAAAAGAAGAAATTAGAAGTTTAGCAGCTGAGAAGGACGTAAGAGAATCAGTCAATCTAGGATGGTAGTTTAGATATAAATGCCACCATGACAAATGTATGGCAGTCAGGGCCCAATAAGTATACATCTTTGTTTCTTTTTTTTTTTTATCTTTACCCGAGGACATTTTTCCATTTTTTGTTCAGATAGTGGGAGGGGGAGAGAGGAAGAGAGAGAAACATTGATGTGAAACGTACACATCGAGTGGCTGCCTCCCTCCCGCATGACCAACCAGGGCCGGGGACAAACTGCAACCGAGGTACATGACCTTAGCGGGAACCGAACCCAGGTGTCTCTGGACTGCTGCAGGCCAACGCTCTAACCACTGAGCCAAACCGGCCAGGGCTGTTTCTATCTTTCTTTCTCTCTTCTCTCTCTCTCTTTCTCTCTCTCTCTCTCTCTCTCTCTCTCATCTATCTATCTTTATCCTCACCTGAGGACATTTTTCCATTTTTGTTCAGATAGAGTGGGAGGGAGAGAGAGGAAGAGAGAGAGAGAAACATTGATGTGAAAGGGACACATCAAGTGGCTGCCTCCCGTGCAACCCCAATCGGAGCTGGGGACAAACTGCAACCGAGGTACGTGCCCTTAGCAAGAACCAAACCCAGGTCTCTCTGGACCATGGGCCAACTCTCTAACCACTGAGCCAAACCGGCCAGGGCTAGGCTGTTTCTATTTTTAAATGCTCATTTTAGTGAATGATGCCATGTTAGGCTCTAGAGATAAGAAGCAGCAGATATCTTGGCCCTCAAATAATTTACAATCCTGCTGTGGAGAAAAATAACCTAAAACATACACGTCAACAAGAACTAACATTTATTGAGCGCGTTCTTTGGGCCAGGCAGCCTTCAAAGCACTTTATGTATCAATGCATTTCATCTTAATCTTATGATGTATGAACTATGATTATTCCTTCTCTTTTCCAGATGAAGAAAGTGGATACAGAGGTTAAACTGCCCCAAGTCACTCAACAATCAGAATTCGAAGACAAGCCCAGGTGTGCTGGCTGCAAGGCCATCATTTCCCCGTATCGAGCTGTTTTCGAGTTGCATTCCCAGGACTCATGGAGACTCACGGCTGCGGGGAACTGGAGAGCTGGAGGGGCATGACTCATCTCCCTTTTACTGGTGTCTGATATGCTGATGGCCACATACTCATGGAATGTCATCCTTCTTTTTTTTTGCCTGGGCTTGCCTGGGGTTCCTCCTCCTATGACTTACAGATGAATTGTAACACAGTCACCCATAACCCGGGGCAGCTTTCAGCGGAGGAGACATTTTCCTTCCCGTCTGCCCCAGCCTGTTTCCAATAACCTTCTACTCCCAGGTCTGCCACAAAACAACAGGAAGTAGTTGTAAATGTCTTTTTTTTTTTTTTTACCCTTACCCGAGGACATTTTTTGATATTTTGTTCAGCTAGAGTGGGAGGGAGAGAGAGAGAGAGAAACATCAATGTGAAAGGGACACATTGAGTGGTTGCCACCAACACCACCCAACCAGGGCCGGGGACAAACTGCAACCAAGGTACGTGCCCTTAGCGGGAACCGAACCCAGGACTCCCCGGACCGCAGGCCGACGCTCCAACCGCTGAGCCAAACCGGCCAGGGCTAAAAGTCATTTTTAAAATGGCCACCATTGCCAGGACGGTGTGGTTCAGTGGTTGAGCGTCAATCCATGCACCAAGAGGTCGCTGGTTCGATTCCCAGTCAGGGCACGTGCCCAGGCTGTGGGCCCGATCCCCTGGGAGGAGACGGCCAAGTGATGTTCTCTCTCATCGATGTTTCTATATTTCTCTCTCCCTCTCCCTTCCTCTCTTTCTAAAATCAATAAAGAAAAAAATATTTAAAAACAAACAACAAACCTTTTTTAAAATGGCCACATTACAGAAGTAACATTACCAACCCTTCCACAGTATGGAAGCAGAGATGGATATGGCTCACACAACCCAGAATAGCGGATAACCTGTCATGAAAACTAATTTTAGGAACATTCCTATACTTTAAAATTCATTATTTATAACTCTGAAATGGAGTATTCTAGAATGATCTGCAATATTTTAAGCCAAGTGTAGTCATACTGAAATGACCTAAGCTAAAGGGCTACAAAGCTTTCTCAGTTTTCTCCCTTGCTCAATTCTATGAACTCTCCCACATGACGCTATTTCTGAGAGTGAACCATATGAGGTATGTGAGAATTGTCTGAAGGCAAAATACCCTTCTTAATGTAATATTAAATTCAGGGTTTTTTTTGTTCCTTTCTTTTGCCCATATACTCACATGGCTTATGATGACACCACACAGAACTGTTTATGAGGAGGGCTACAATGGTGCAAGCATTTAATTAATGAGGAATATGTGATTTAGTTGTAACCTGAAATATCAAGTGGCCTTCAGTCTGATGGGAAATTTCTTTATGTCACCAGCAAAGTACACTTAACTATCACTACCTTGCAGCGTTATAAGCACTCAGTTCTACCTTTTTAAGCCAGATAATCGAACACCAGGGCTAATCCACTAGTGTGTTTCTCCAGGTATGGTCCCCAAAGGAAGTCTCCTAAGGCAGATTCCTGGGCCTCATGAGCAACCTAAGAATCAAAATTTCTGTAAGATCAAGAAATTTGCAAGTTTTGACAAGTTCATCCAGGTACTGATTTAAAAATCAATGGTATAAATCCATTTGGTTTGTCTTTACCACTAAAAGGAGAGATTGGTTAAAACAAAAACAAAAGACCTTTTCTCTATTTCACTGATAATTGAAATTGTACATATGGAGAGTATTTCTTAGCATATATCTGAAAAACTTAGGGGACAATATATTATCATAACACCATCCTTAAAAGCAATACCTCAAAGTAAATGTTCACTTTCTGGAGCGAGCTAGAGGGTAACTGAAGGAGTTCTTAACCAAGGGTTAATGACAAACTACTAGTCTTCACTGAGTTTAGCAGTCCACACAGTTTATTCAGCAATTTAACAGGAGAGAACTTCCACCATGAGAGACAGAAAGATACAGGGTAGATCTCTGGGGTACATTCTTTATACAGACTAACAAATAACTTCAGGTTTCACAACACGTGGCAGGCATGAGTTCTTGCATAAAAACAGCTGTTCATTCCTCACTTCCTTCTGAAAGAGCCCTCGTTTTATTAGGGGAGACAATGTGCCTCACCCAGGCACTGCCACCCTCCTCCCCCTCTGCCTGGCTTCCCAGGCTCCCTTAGGAATCAGTCCCTTCTGAGATGTAAGAAGAAACCAGCGAGGGGCTTTTGGGAAAGATTTCCTATAAGCCAGCGCACTAAAAGGAGAAAGCCTTCTGCTCTCCACTTCCAGCGTTGGGACTGAAATGTCTGGCACAGCAACAAGCCACACTGTAACCACTGAGGACACCAGGAGGACAAAAGCCAATGCGATAAGGATCCCAGAGGGGAAAAACAGAAAGAACCTGGGACCTTAAGAACGTTGTTGGGTGGCTACACAAGCACTGGGTTATCTAGCATCTCGAGTGGAATTCTAAACTTGTTCGGTGGCCTCTGAGATGTTCTCAACAGTTTTTTTCTAAGTTTCTTAACCCGAACTCTGGTTCTATGATTCTCACCAACAGGCGAAGGCCAGAATGTGGCTCGTGTCCAGACAGACCTTAGTTTTAAGGAAGATGCTTCCCCCAGACTGCTAATACGGACCAAGCGGAGCTTGGTAACTCCTGGAGGTCACCTCTCTCACACAGGCACTTTTCCATTTCCTGGTAGGGCGTTCTGTCACCACAAAGACAGGTCAGTCTTTGTTTATGTAGAGCCAAGTAAATGTAGACAGTGGCATTTCTGCATGGTTTTTAAAAAATATATTTTTATTGATTTTTAGAGAGCGAGGAAGAGAGAGAGAAACATTAATGTGAGAGAGAAACATCGATCGGTTGCCTCCCATATGAGGGAGGCCCCAACCTGGGCAAGTGCCCCGACTGGGGACCGAACCAGCGACCTCCCGGCGCACCGAACAATGCTCAACCAACTGAGCCACACCGGCCAGGGCCATTTCTGCATGTTTTTGTGTAACCTATGTACATGTTGTCTGATAGAATGTCATTTCTCTGAAGGTGACCAGTTATCAATAATGTCAAAGCCACACTGAGGCCAAATAGAGCCAATGACGAATATATGACTATATATGAATAAATTATATATAAAATCATTGATTAATATATGAGGTGGAATTTAGAACAATGTAGTTTCTTATTAAAATGTTAGTTCTTTTACCAAAACAATCTAGAATCCAGCTACAATGAAGATGCTTTCCCTTAGAAGCTATCACTAGAAATATGATATACACAGTATAGGGCATCCCCTCCAGGACTACTTGTCCTATGTCAATAATTAGGTTGTGGAGCTTTTTAGGAGGGGTAAGTTAATTCCAAAACATAGGCAGGAGACATGAAATACTCTGGTTCTAGATGAACAGTCTGGCCGGAACACTGACTGAATTCATGCTGAGAAAATAGGTGTAGACTACAATAGCAGATCCAACAATTTAAGCAGTTTCCCAAAGTAGTAACAGTCTGGATCAGATTTAAAAGAAATCATTTTTTGTTTCCATCTTCCTTGGATTACTAGTACAAAATCCTCTAGCGTCTCCATGATTTTGACAGTTTAAGAAGTTATTTGCTTTGGCCAAGTTTTTTGTTTAAGGTTGTATCTGTTCTGGTCAAAATTAACTGTAACGCCGGATTAAAACCAGCTATCCTGGAGTCGTGTATCCGCTTTCTAACCAGCGGAGGACCCAGAAGAAATGGGTGGCAAGCTTTTTCAAAGGTCCACCTGGTAAGATTTTGGGGAGCCCACTCAAGTGGAAAAGACCAAGGAAGAACGAGGCTTCTATTAGCAGGATTATCAGGATAACACTCAGGGCAATAATCAGCTCTGTTAATACGGTCTAAGAATACTTGGTAACATTCATTTTCAATAAGTTCAGTTTGGTACAACCAATGGCCTAGTTCTAAACTAGGGAACCACTGTTGTCCACAGTCAGGGCAATGTGAATTATCTGAGAACATTTGGGCCAGAGTGACAACACAGAAAGCAACGTAACAGTAAGAAGAAACAATGACAGAGACACTCAAATAATCTGTCCTATCACAGGTCTGGTTTAGCAGTCTCTTAAGTCCGACTTCTATTACTTGAAGAGAGTTCAATTCAGCTTGCACCTCCGTGCAATTCTTCAAGATTTCGTTGTCTATTTTTCACTCAATTACAACTCAGTCTCTCAATTCAGCGACCGATCCAGTCTATAATGTTATCAGTCACTTGCTAGGAGCCCAGATCTCAGAATAGCTCCTTCAAATTCCAGCTTCTCAAGAAAAGCTAGGGCTCTGGTCTAAATAGTTATTTTTTCTTGTGTGTTAACCAGCAGATGATCTCATGCAGAGGCACTGGCTTACTGTGCTTTGCTGGTTGGCTATTCTATCTGCTTGGTCAAAGAGAGGAGCTGACAGGTCCTCGGGTCTTTGTGGGCGCTGGCACTCTTGCCGCTGTGACACACGTACCCCAGTCTTAAGGTCTTGGCACTTTACAGCGATGTGGGGGGGTCAGGAAAACCTGGGAGAGTCCTCTTGGGCGTGGATCCAATGAAGTCTTTCTTGGGAGGACCTTAATCAGGACCCCGTCAGAGAAGTAGCTGATGCTGAGTTGTTGGAGGGTCTGGGAATGCTTCACATACCTGTAAATGATAACACTTCAGACGACTCATAATGGGTTTTCAGTTGCTCACAATATTATTAGAAACATGCATTTGGAAATCAGTTGGGTCAGTCAAGGTGGATGAGAACTGTCTCATAGGTTTCCCCACGACAATTTCATCTGGGTTCAAACTATTTATCTGTTGGGAGTTATTCTTATGCTTATTTGGGCACAAGGAAGGGTTTTGGTTCATTTAAGATTTGCATTAGCTTAATTTTTTTTAGGACTACGTTTCCTTTTTCTGCTCCTTTTACACTTTAGGGTAATAAGGTCTGAGTAATCATGTTTAACCTGGTAGGACGTTGAGATTTCCTGTATATCTCTGTTGTGAAATGGATGACATATATGGTATTCCCGTAACATGTGGGAACATTAACAATGGCGACAGCCTTTTTATAACAGACTTCAGTCCATCCAGGACAAAGCCTACAAAATTATTCAATAATAATTGAATATTGTTCTTAATAGCAAACAATAGGAAGTTGGATGAAGTCCTTTTGAAGGCTGAAAATGAAACCCAGAGGTTTGTGCACATTGTAAGTATGAAGGCAAGGAAGGCACAGTCCTGAGCACTGGCCCTGAGCTATTCTTAGAAAACATACGGTCAATCAGTTGGAATTAGCAGATGTCATCATCTTTGTCGTCCTCCATGGCATGAATGTAACAAGTGACCATGGGGGTAGCAGGATGTATAGAACAGCCAGAGAGCCACCTAGGGAGTGCCACAGACCATCAGAGCACACTGTGTACCCCAGCTTTCTCCAGGGTTATTTTTGTGAATTTTGATGCTGTGAGCACTAAGAGACACAGGGAAGCATGAGCGCTGAAACTGGATAAAGGTGCGGCCTGTAAAGCAGAGGGCATTACAGCCTTGGCTGTGGTAGCCAAAGCATTCTCCTAACAGCCTATCAACAGTAGCTGTGATTCTCAGATTTTAGAATAGCAAGTTTAAAAGGCAACTGAAGGGCAGCCTCTGACAAGGTTGCTACATGGGGCCAATATTTTGATAGAAGCCCCAGATGAGGTACAGAAAATATCAGTGTAGACACATTGATTTTTTTTTTTTTCCGAGGTTAGGTAGCAATGTAGGGTGAGAGCAACCAATTCAACTGCTCGGGCAGAGTGAACAAATGGTAGGGTTCCTGACTCCACGACCCTTGTGGTGGCAACACAGGGCAGAATGGAATTCCCTGTAAGTCTACTGACAAGAGCCACCAGAGTCAAAGTTTCAGATGTCGTGCTGGGAAGTCTTGTGTGTCTAGTACGCAGAACATGTACATGATGATGAACCCACATGATCATGGGGTTTAACTGAGAAGTCAGACCGAGTCTGACATTGAAAAGATGCAGAACTCTGGAGTTTTAGAGTGAAAGGGGAAATGCAATTAATACCACAAGATACCATTTCACATCCACCAGACTGGCAATAATTAACAAGCCTGACAATGGGGGCTCTACATACTCTAGACAAATCCCCCCACTACCCCCAAAACAGCTCCATTGGCAGGGTCAAGAGGAAGCCCTAAGCTCCATGCTCAGAATACAATCCACCCCACCCCACCCTTCATTTCTCCAACTCCAGCAGCCAGGCAAGCACTAGAGTTCCAAGTATTCCTGAATCAGGAGAACACTCCCGTTCCACATGCTCCAGACAGGACTGCCCCTCCCCTCCCCTGGGCCTTTAAACCAGTTTGGACAAGAGCCAAAGTGGGCCCTAAAGCACTAAGTGCTCAGAATAAGATCGCCATCTATTACAGCCTCCTTCCTCATTCCTCAGCCTTATCACTACTGGAAGAGTGAAGAGGGCCTTCAAAACTGCTCCTGGCAAATTCTCAAACTCTACCCCACCCCTCACCCCACACAGCTCCTAGCTTCACTACATTATCTGCTGGGAAGCATCAGGACCAAGCCTCTCCTCACACCATGTCCTTTTATGTCCTCACCACATGAAGCCAGAGCTTCCTGGCTGCAGTTCATCCCTTAGTCTCTAACCCCCGTGACTCTACGAGCAGCGAGATAACATCCCTTCCCCTTGCTTTATTCATTTTTTCTCATAAACATGTACCATTTTGATATATTAAATATTTTAGCTATTAGCCCCTATTAAAATATTAACTCCTTGAGATGAGGACTTTTTGTCCTTTTATTTACTGCTGTACATGCCCAATAAACATTTCTTGAATGAATAAACAGCAGTTTGAATCCTCATACCCTAACCACGAGAGCATACATTAGAGCAACGACTTCTGAAGTTAATTTGGCATTACTCAGTAAAGCCAAAGAGGTGCATTTCCTACGATTCAATAATCCCGCTCTTAGCTTTTGTACCCTAGAGAAATTTCCACCTGTGCATTTAAAAACATGAATAAAAATATTTATTTATGGTAGTTATAGTGTATAGTAGCAAAATAACAGCTAAAGTGTCCATGAACAAATAGAATGGATAAATAAAATGAAGTATTGTCATACAATGAAATACTGCACATAGATGAAACTCAAGAATATTGAGCTAAAAAATAAAAAGCAGAATCCACACACACACACAGTTTCCATTTACACCAAGTTTCAATATATTGTTTAGGAATAAATACGCAACAAAGTTAAAAAGGAAAAGATGAGCACAAGGGTAATTATTACCTTTAATGGGAGAAGGGAGGGCATGCAATGGAGATGATAATCAATCATATTTTTTCTTCCTCTGAATCATAAATTCTAATAGCTCACATAGTCTCTATTTAATCTTTTATCATTTAACAAAAAGAGTAGAGAGGAAATAGCAATGGGCAAGAAAAAGAAATGAATAAGAAAACAAAACGGTCACACTGTGAATAAAAAGAGCAGCAGCAGCTCCTCTGCTCAGAGGGAAAGTGGGTGACTGACCTATCGAGGAAAAGAGAGGTCCTACAGAAAGATCTGGATCTTTGCTTTGCTCATGAAATAGTAAGCAACTATCTTCACAGAAATAAGGTAAAACAGGCCTACCCTAATGTTAGCATGGAAAAGAAAGTTTATCTCGGCACAGTACATCGAGGCGTGCATCAGTCTGCAGCGAGGATAGGCACCCTCAATCCAGGCAAGAGGCAGACAGTCCAGAGAACCTCACTTGGCCAGGTATTCAACGTTGTCCTGTCTGTGAGATTTTAATACTTAACAACAATAGTTAATCTTATCTATCTTAGAACCACCATTTGTTCTAAGCACTTTATATTATATTAACTCATGCAATCCTTACAATAATCCATTTGAAGAAACAGAGAGGTTGAGCAACTTGCCCACGGTCACACAGGTCATGTAGTAATTGGTATCTGAATCCAGACAGACTGGCTCCAGAGCCTGTACTCTTAGCCACTGTGAAATAGCACCTTCTGAAGCAGTGACAGTTGAGCTTAGAAAGCCTCCACAAACTATTTGCAAAGTTTGAAGGATACTCCTCAACTGTGTGTATATACTGACTGAGGTGGATGTGGGGGGAAATTATCCCATAATTTTCCACTTCCACACAAAAAGTTTAAGGAAGTCCTGAGCTCCCTGAAATTACACATAAAAATTTTTATGCATACATATGCATTTTGGGGGAAAGAGAGTACTGCATACTTTTAGACTTCCAAAGGAATCTGAAATAGTTCAGAACCATTGGGTGTTGTTTCCTTTCTCAACGTTTTTAGCCTAAGTCAAAAGCAGTTGATTAGAGGTAAATTATGATTATTATCAGGCTTATAGAAATGCCGAAAACACCTAGAGAACCACCATTAATCTACCGATTATTAAGCATAACTGTTTAAATTATTAAGAAAACCACTATGTACTAGGTCCGATGTCCAGTTCTATGAATATAGAAAGAACAATCTTACAGGACTTCCAGATGACCAGTGAATCCAGACTGGAAGCAATTTTAGGTAAAAGCTAAGGGCTGTTGATGGAGATAAAAAGTTCGCCTGCCAAGAGCCTGGGAAATTCAGGAAGGCCCGCAGAAGAAGCTGGAATGCCTTTATTTTCAAACAAACCTAACCAACAACAGTGGGCAAAAACCAAAGTTTAAAGAGCTTCCCTAATGCAAAATACTACACAAAAGAAAAACACAAATCAGGTTTTATGTATGCATGAGAACTGCAGTAAATTTAATATTCTTCTTGAAACTTGATTAGAGAATTAGAAAATAGCACTTGAACACCAAAATAGAAAAATGCAGTTTTAGTTAATCTATTGAATTTTATATATATATATTAACAATGGCAGCTTAACACATGTTAAACAATTACCTTCTCTAAATATTCTGATTATATTTCATTTCTTTGCTATTTCCTGAATGGACGTTAGTAAGCCAATTCCAAGCTGTCCTTGAGAGACGAATACTATTCCTTTGTTCTTTTTGGTGGTAGGATAATGGAAGTTTCAGAATGAGTCAGGATTGGGTGACTTTTCCAGGCAAGTATATCCCTTAGACTTCAGTCTCAGCTGACTCATCATATGCTATGTAAAATCAAAATATAGGGCACACAGGAAAAATGTAAGTGCTTTAAAGCATCTGGAGTTCCCATTTTAAATATTTTCTTCTATACGAAGTCTAATGAGTAATCAAAAACTTTATTTTTTTGTACAAGACAGTTTCTCTAAAGTTCCAAGCACTCTAAAGTGAAATCTTTAGAATTTCATCTTTCACAACTAGTTCAGAATTTAGATGATGAGAGATGAAGGAGTGTGAAAAAAAAAAAAAGGGAATCAATCACTGTTCTTTTTAAATTCACATAAACTAAATTCTCTGTTAAAAATATATTATGAAAATAAACGCTCCTGCAAAAAGTCTTCAACCTAAG